TTTTAGCATTGAAATTTATAAGTATATTCAACGACCCATTTAATCTACTAATAGCAATAATGTATTATATAGATTTACCACAACTACATCACTGAAATTTGGTTACCTAAATATGTACTGCTATCTATATTATGTCAGTGTGAACCCCAATATTTTGGTCATGAGGCACCACTGTATTTTATTCATTCTGTAGTGTGTCGGCACTGCAGAAAGTGGCTTCTTGTAACACCATTTAAGGTTCCACTACTTTCCATTTCCTTGATTCACCCCTCATTTATCGTCATTTATTTCACGCTAATCGGCTAAGTTCCATGGTGTTGCGTCCCTTGGTGGAACGCCCTCCAGTGGTCGCGCATCCACAGCGTGACCGGAAAGACAACGACTTAACTGTTGCGAGAATGTGGATGCACACTAATCTCGCAACTGTCCGGCATTCTTCAATAATACGCTCGTGACTAGAGGTGAGTTCGGGCTGCGCACTCTAGAGTGAAGTGGAGTAAGTAGGCGTAAACGGAGTGCGCATATGGTTTTACTCCTTTTACTCTCAGAGTTCAATGTCAGTTGTCAATGTGACATACTAATACTTAAAACCTAATCGTACTTATCAGTAACAACCGTATAAGTTTTTTCCATATTAATGGTATGCACGGGAATCAAATAAAAAGCATTTTTACTTAAGAATTAGTCACAATTATCTTATTATCGATTTAAATCACCTTATGCGCATGCCCGATCCATAATCCACTCCACGATCTCCGAACGGTCAAAGAGGAACTTTTATTTTAACTCCTTCCGTACCCGAACGCCTTAGGTACTTTAGGAGTGAATATAGTGAAAAGTGTGCGTAGACCGAACTCACCTTAGATTGATGTTACCAGTTAACGAAAAATAAACTCAATGGCCGTGTTCATCGTCGTCAAACATGTTGTAACGCTGAGTAAGCGGTGACGATGAACTGTCAACCGCTGCAGCGCTTTTGAAGAAGCATAAAAGCGAAAATAAACTCGCTTGTTTGCTTTAAAAGCATAAAATTGACCTTGAACCCCTGTCAAATCCGTCTTTTGGCATTTTGTTAGGTTATGTGTTTGTTTATTTATTTATATTTTTAAGGTTTTATACCATAATAGAGTTGATTAGTTAAGTTGTATTTTAATATAATATTGTATTTATGGAGGTACCTGTTTGAAGAAAATAAAATTAATTCCAGACGTAGATACATACACGTATGCTTAAATTATTTCATTTGGACATTAATGGGATTCCACCAGTAAGGAATATGGATAATATAACATACCTACATATTATATAGTTTTAGCACAGAGTTATTCAAAACAGACGAGTTTTGTTATTAAAACTGCACCGATGTTTTTTGTTTTCATGTAATGTATATAGGGCATTAAAAAATAAATAATAAAAGTATGACATTTTATTTACAAAATAAATTAAATATAAGCAATTATATTAAAAAGGGTCCACCTTGGTTTGTTGAACCTATAAAAAAATACCTCATTACTGTATACATTTCAAATAATTTTTGCTAATAAGTCGCTCTACCTATATGACAACATTAAATTTGTATATTTATTAATTTCCAATACAAAATATATCATTCCTATAAAAGAATTACTGTATGTAGTTTGTCGACAAGGTATGTATAACTATAATACTAGACAAATTTTATTAATTCAGACTCAAGGAATATTAGCAATGACCAAAAATGTATAACACCTAAGTACCTACATAAAAAATACTTTGTAAAAAAATAAGTAAAGCATTAGATAGGGATTATTTTAACAATTTTCGGTTTTTGTAATAAAACGTTATCATTTCTTACCTCACAGCAAGAAGCCTGTAAATTTTAAAAGGCATAACAGCAATTTTTCATTATTTTTAATGTAGAATAACAACAGTAAGATTGTAGTAAAAATAAAACAATAATATAATAAAAAAATGTATTAAAAATAAGTGAAATAACATAATTTTATGTTTATTTATTAAAAATTAGAAAAGCGAAATAAAACTTGTTTAGTGGGCTGATTTTCTATATTTTAGTTTTTAAATGGGAGTGGAACTGTTGACGTGTCTTGTTTATGTTATGCTTGGCTTTCAATACTGATACTTCAAATTAAGTAAGTTTTTTCACTAGCGCATATTTATATGAGATACCACTCTTTTTTGAAAAATGTTTTGAAGCAGATCACGTTTTCTTTTAAAGCGGGACATTCTTGCATTCTTTGGGGACAATGGTACACATAACTTGAAAGTGGGGTTGTCTTGCCTAAAGCGGGACTTATGATGTTAGGTATGACTCAAAAATAAAAGTTTACTTCAGGTTGATTTTCATTTTTATCTCTTCCTCCTTTTTCGATTCAGTTAGTTTTGAACTGGTTTGAGACACATGCCTCAAGTTCTGGGCTGGAGTCCAGTTTAAATGATTACTAACTTCAAAGGAACTCTGTTTTCCTAAAAATAAGAAAGTCATACTTGATATCTCTATTATTATACACTTTTATGTATCCTTGATATATGTAAAAAGATCACTTTTTGAGATGTATGTTATTAGTATCATGAGTTCCTTTACTTTAATTTATTGGTGCAGACCAGACAGTTGATTAAACACAATACACAATAAATAGCATTCTCATTCTGCTCTTCAAAGTATGATCTAGTTACAGTATGTTTTTATTTGTGTGTCAAAAAAATGTATTTTACCTTTAATAAAATGACTATTACAATTTCTTTGATTAGTCTAAGTATGTAGAATTCAAGATCCATAGAGGCAATAAAAACATCATGACTTTACAACCCAAAATAATACAAGTTGTAGGTTTTTCGCCGTAAAATTGTCATAATCACTTTCAGAAGGGTACTTATATAAACTCTAATTCACTGTACAAATCAATTCAACTCAAATTTTTTTAAAAAATACTAAAGTAAACAATTCACATAACCTTCTTTGTGCCAACCGAATGTCATTCCATTTTTTGACAGATTTGAGGTTGAGAAAACAAATCGTAAACAAAAATGATCGTTCAGCGTCATTCCAACCGCTTATGAAACATGTTTCTTTGCTTTTAAAACATGTTTGACGACGATGAACACGGCCAATAACTAGAACAGTAATCCCAATATAGGGTGAATGACCTATTTGACAAAAGTCGATAATTAAGTTGTCGTATAAGTAACTAAATACATACATTCTTGTCTAACCAGATCATGTGTCGATGTATTTTGAATTTTTTTGAATGTTTATAGTCGCACCATACCCCATATACTTATAATATAATGTACTTCAGTTTAATTCTCACCAGAGTTTAACATTGGTATTCATAAGTATATTCATAAAATCCAAATTAATAACAAATATTTATTGCATTAGCTGCAGTGATCTCATTTCATATTTAAAACACATGGCTACGAACACGTATATCTATTCAAGCAATTAATTCAAATGTCGTCTCACTATTAGTTATGACCCTTACGAGCCGAGCCCTTTTACCTGGAATCAGATACCTCTTCTTCAACCGCGGTGTGATATTTACAATACTAGCCGCTTTGTTCCAAGCCGCGTTATATTTACCATCATTTAGCGAATTAAATAATTATTAATGATTAACACGTTATTAATGATTGATAGGTAATTAATTATTGATAGGTAATTAATGATTGACAGGTCATTAATTATAGACAAGGTAATTAATGATTGACAGGTAATTAAAATGATTAATGACCTTTGGCGGCATCATTGTCGGCATCATCAAAGGAAAATTTGGTTCCCAGGCTCAAGTGTCTCTATACCTACTAGCGGACAAATTAGATCCTTTAATTTTGTGGAAATGTATCGCAAATATGCATCCCTCCGTCCCCAATCAACAAGCCACAATAGATTTTTTATTAGATACTATGACGGAAAATGTTCCGTTCAACCTGTTGGTGTAAACACTTTTGGCAAAATCCCAAGTGATATTGCCAAATATTTAAATATTGAAAACCCAATGGAATACACGGGACACTGCTTTCGCAGATCTTCTGCAACCTTACTAGTAGAATCCGTCGCAGATATATTAACTTTGAAACGGCACGGATGGTGGAAATCCTCAACTGTAGCTGAGGGCTACATTGAGGAGTCTATTTCTAAAAAAACATAAACAGAAATAGCTGCTCAAATTCTTGAAGTTCAACCAAGTACCAGCACCGGAAGCTTCACAATACGAAAAAGAGGTGTTTCAAATGAAGAGCCAGTCAAAAATGAAACCAAAATTCAAAAAATTCAAAATATTGCTGGAAATGAAGTTTTTCCGTCACTAAACATAGTAAACTGCAATAACTGCGACATTAAAATTGTTGTACCTTTTGTAAAATATTCTAATAAAATTTGATATAAGAGTATATTTTATTTCGATCGTAGAAAAAATATTGTGTGCAACACGTGCAAAAAGATACAAAGATACACTTTTTGCACTAGTTACACAAATAACTATTAGAGGGTCATAAAAATATTTACCTCAACTTTTACGGATTCGAAGGGAGCCGCTTCCTCCCCTCTGGCTACGCCCCTGATTTATATAATATTTTCAACAAGACGTCAAAACAATTTTCCCTTTTCAAATATGGCAGGACGTCTATCGGCGTCAACTTTCAAACTCTTGTACATAAAAAAAATTTAAATTCTGAACGGTTTGCTATACTTTATTTATAAGGCAATCCGAGCCGTAATTTGTTCAACAGTACGAGTGTTATTTTTGGCACCGACGTGTTAAAATTAGTTATTTTGTCTTATTAATGTTTTAAATTTGTAGATTTCCGTTAGTGGGTAATAGAAACAATATACTGTTCAACTCGAGTGGATTGTCCACATCAACTCTTGTTGGACAAGCTACTATTTTCAAATTTGGGGAAAGTCAAGCTTTGTGCTGAAGATTTTGAACTAGTTTTATACTATGAAGACTATTTTGTTACACCACTTTAAAACATTTGAATGAAATAAATTTGACTCATAATTTTGACAATCACCATCATTAAAACTGCCATTGTTCGTTTTGTGTCATGTATGATCGAAAAATCACAAATCACATAAATTCATTGTACAATCAGTAAAATTTGTGTCTGTAGTTCCAAAAAGGTCACGAAATGTATAAGAAATATAACAAACACAGTGATGTTATCAATCAAAATGCTACCGTTAAGAGAAAGCATAAATTATGTAAGAGGGATGAACAATTTTCAACAACAGCTAATGCGGAAAATGAAAAACCTCACAAAGGCATTTTGATAGATCATGGCGATTGCGACGGCAAACATTCTTCTCATTACAAACATCACAATACCCATAAAAGCGATGAAAGGCATCATCATCAAAGTAGACATAGAAGTGCTGAAGAAAAACATAAAGAACGAAGCAAACACGACAAAACTCACTCACCAGTAATATATCAGCATCGAAATGAAAACGTCGAACAAGCGTCCAAAGCAATGGAAGATTATTTGAGTAAAAAGGACAACTGCAGAAAAAGACATCGATCTGCTCATTCCACAGATAACCCTTACAATCCTTTTTCTAAAAAATACGAAACGGTACACAAATCAAACACATTTATCGTTGACACAAAACGCTCTAACAAAACTGCAGAAAAAAAAGACAAAAACAAGGATAAAGACAGAATCTCTAGGCAAAGATCGAAAAGCGGAAAGAAAGATATAAACAAAGAGAAAGTATCCCAAATTTGGTACTGTCAAGTAGAAACTAACAGTCCTTTCAAGCAACACAAAAAAGAATTCAATAAATCCGAAGAAACGAAACACAAAAAGCACAAGAGCTTGAAAGAATCGACCACCTCCACCCACGGGCGGAATAAATCCCCAGATAAACAAGTACTTAACGCTTTATCGCCTAGTATACATAAATCAAGAATCCATCATTTCAAAGATCCGACTTTGAATACGATAATTAAACCAAAAGCTGACAGAAGTTTGGACCGTACACCTAAACTTGAACAAATCCGACCTAAATCGCATAAAAAAGCCGAAAAATCCTGTCAAGAACGCCCGGTCAATAAAAAAATACAACACAAAGTAGAACCTAGCCAATCCGCTGTGAACGTCGACCAAAAAATCGAAGACGGCTTGAAAATGTATTTCATGAAACTACAAAACATAATAGATAAAAAATTCGAAGCAATTCTGCCCACCAAAGAAGAACAGACCGAGAACAAAAAGGAAAGAAAAAAACATTGCCACAAAAGCAACAAAAACGAAGTTGTCGATTCCAGACAAAAAGAAAAAGAGGAAATTCGAGTATTGAAAGAAAGATATCGAAATATACCACATAATAGAAAAGAAACCGATAATAATCCTTTCATAGATCACAACGGAATAGCTGTACATAAAGAGAATTTCGAAAAGTCGCACAAATTTACTCCAGACATACCAAAAACTCACCAGAAACAACGAAGACACCACAGCCATCCAGACAATTTAAAACCCAAATATGACCATCATCACGAAATATTCTGCGAAGGGCATAGTACTAACGCAGAAATACAAACAACCGTGTATGACTCAAAACTAGATAAACACACAGCAACTGTAAAGAAACGAGACAAATTCGCAGCTACAAGACAATCAACACCCGAAGAAGAGCTTCAATATAGAACCATTATAAGAGACATGATGAATGGTAATGTGATTAGCAATCCCTCAACATCTGTTACGTATGTCAAACCTCCGGTACCTGTAGACAGAAATCTCAATCTCTACTATTACGATAAAAGCTCGTCAAAATACATCGACCTATACAACGAAAACTCCAAAGAAGAAAGATACCAATATAAAGATAAGGAAAATCATTTTTGGGTTGAAGGTGTAGAACCCGCCAAAAGAGATACACTGCAAAAAACGCGAAAAAGGAAGCTAACACCTAATTTACAAAGTAAAATAGTTTCGATAATTGGAATACCTTCGCAAACGAAAGATCACCACTCATGTAACTTTTATCATGAAAAACATCCAGTCCCGTTGGAAGATCTGTTGCAGAATAGAAACAAAATGAAAAGATTGAAACTATACTATAAATATTTACAAGAAAATAATCAGAGCTCTCCTTCGGGAAGCGATAGTGGAAGAAACCATGTACCTAGCGAGAGCTGTAAGGTGCTATCTGATCGATCTGAGCCAGCTGAATATCTTCCTGCAAGTAGAGATAAACCAATTCTACCAACAACTACTTCAAACGATAAGAATACCTTACAAGACAAACACGAAGATAATACATTTATTAATATTAAATTGGATGACTACCATTTCTATCTTAAAGAAAATAATAAGAAAGATCAATCGAAATATCTGACTACTAGTAAAAAAAATTCTATAGATTGTCAAAAGCCAAACAAAGACAAAAAACGACCACAATATGTTCAACGTAAAATCAAAAAGCAGATTGTAAACGAAGTAATTCTTAATGCAAAATCTGACACAGATATATCGTATAGCTCTTTAACAGTCAAAAGTCTGAATTTCCCGCGTCAGCTGAAAACTAAGAAACCAGATAATATTGCGATTCCACAAAACCAAACAAAAACTAACATAGACATAGAAGATATAACGGTAAAAGAATTTTACAACAACATCGATTATTTTAAAAAGAATTTTGAGAAACAGACCTCGGAAGATTACGTTTCAAACTTCCAAGTGCTACAATTCTTGGAAAACATGCATCAGCTATACATGACAAATCAACAAAAAGCTGGTCCACAACTCCAAGATAAAAGCATCGAAGTACAACGGCTGATGACTGAAGATATACATAGAGGACCCGTTGCAAAAGAAACGAACGAAATAAACATAAATACAGACGAAGATATGTTGCACAAGGAAGAGTCTACGCATAAATCAAACTTACTTGTGAACAAATCTGTTGAAGCTTGTCAGCACTTACAAGAATCTAAAACATTTAAACCATCCAATCCAAAAATAGACAGAATGACATCCTACCAAGAAATCCTTGGAAATAAACATGAAAATATTAGTAATTACGAAGAAGTTCAAGAATACCAACAGACAGAAGACTTTATCTATCCCAACAGAGAATTAACTTCTAGGGAAGTAGGCGATGAAAGTATATTCCCTATCGAGGAAGAGGTCTCTGCTAAATCGGTAGCAGTACAACAAAGCTATTTTCAAATACCATCAAGAAGTTCGAATGTAACAGATACAGAAACATCAACAGTTCACCAGTCAAAAAATTACGAAGCAAAAAAATGTATAGGTACTTCTGTTGTTGGAGAGTCAAATGGTGATACTAAAAATCCACCATCTCTCATAGATTCAATATCTGAAATCGGCGATGTAAAAGTTAAAAACGTTGACGTAGAAGTTAGAGATACCTACCTAGGAAAAATCCCAAAACGAAATTTAAAATCTCTAAAAATTCCAAGAGCAAATATTAATCCTTTAAAGATATCTACTCCAAATGTGCCCAAAACACCGCCAACAAAAGATATCCCTGAAATATTGGAGCAAGTTAAACCTTCCATAATACCACTCTTGAAGACAAGAACCAAAAAAACGCACGATAACCTTCCTAAAAAAGAAGATAATGGATTACCACCGACACCCACATCGCCGACGAAATTAGAAGATACATATAAATCAAAATATATAAACCAGTCAAAAGATGATCTTCTTGGTAAAAAGAAAAAAAGAAGACCTCAAAGCGCAACATCAGCAGTTGAAAAAGCTGCTGAAGAAGCACTGGAATCAAGTGATATTTTCAAACTCAAAAAATCGCAGTCGGAAATCAATTTTGATCAAATCGATTTGATTAGAGAAGAAAGTAAAATAACCAGTTTGGTTTGCTTGGAAAGCTATGAAAATGGGTTACCAACTGGCGAAGGTTCTTGCAAAGCTCATTCATTAGATCGATACTTGTTGTCTAATAAACCTATTATAAACGAGCAAGCTCACAACAGCACTCTTATGATAACCAAAGATTATCGTAGTTCGGATGTAAGCTCTTATCAGAAGAGAAAAAAATACGATGAAGTCATTAGGAAGAAGATGAAAAAGAGGATGAGTTTGCAGGAAAAGCAATTGAGTCGCATCTTCGAAGTCAGGTATCTAACTTTGGACGACAATACCAAAAACGTTTTCTCCAACCAACCGGAGACCTTAGAAAGAATACCAGAATCTGAAGAATGTTTAAATAGACGAAAGGCGGAGGAGAAATTTATTAAAGTTACAAACAGGAAGTATGAAAAGTTTTTGAATTCGTTCAAAAAGGATTTGGACAGTCCTTATTCCGATTTGTGTGAATTTTTGAGTAAAATACCAGAATCTCAAGGCTCGCATCGACATACGTTCAATTCCAAAAACAAATGCAAACATTGTGATACCGGTAAGAACTTTATGAATTTCGTTAATTATTTGTGTAATTCATTAAAATCGAAATGCAGTTCTACCAAATCCACCGAGGAGGACTCTGTAAAATCTGGCCCTACGACGAAGATGCGTAAAAATAGATCCGATACTAAAAAGTCTATTTCAAGAAAAAAGAAACTGTCCAATATTCGAAAGACCGGTGATACAACTTCTTCGTGCTATGACGACATAGAAGATAACTACCAATTTCCTTTGAATACAAAAATTAGTAACGAACACATGAGTTGTCCAGTTTTGAAGACCTCAGATTCATCGTTCGATTTTCTTTATCAAGAAGAAACTAATTCATCTGATGAGGTACCGAAAAGGCCTGTCAATTCTATTTTGGGATTTTCTCTTAACAGCGAGATCACATTGACTAAAAATAATCAAGCAGGTTTAGAATCACCTTGCTCAGAAACCAGTGGTTATGCTAGCAGCAGATCAAAACACAGTTTTTCGTTATTAAACTTTTTCAAAAAACCAAAAATGGCAGCTTTGCTTAAACCACAAATAGCAGAAGGTATGTTTGGCGGTAGAGAAGTTACATCTTATAATAATAAAATGATGCAAGAATGTAGAAATTATGCCCAGAAAGTAAAAGAAGAAAGTGAGTTGAAGCTTGATATTAACGATGAACCTTATGAAGAAATTCCTTTGGATGTGCTACTTAAAAAATCCAATTCAGATTCTAGTGGCTTCGAAAACAGCATCTGTAACTTAAATGTTGGTTACAGTCAAAGCTTGCCTTGTAGTGCTATGTTCCATGAACCGATAGAACCTAAGAAATTTGCTAGCGACACAAATTTACTTAACTGCGACAAGCCTACAGATTTTGTTCAGATATCACTCGACGTAGCTCAAGATCCTCAAACGTTTCAATCTCAGAACACTGCGATTGATTTACTTTTGCAACAAGACTCTGATGATCAATACTCATTGCTCGAAAAAATGATAGATTCTGAAATTTATTTGACCAACTTAAGTTCTTGCAGCATAATGTTAGTTGAATCACTCGAATCGATTCAAAGTAATCAAAAGAAAGCGTTCAAAGATGGAACGCACTGTTCTGCGGAAATTAAGAGGCTGATCGCGAAAAAGTTTTTCGAAAATATTTTAGAGATGTACGAAAACGAAGCTGCTATCAGTTCAGCCCTCTTTGAAGATGACGAATTTGTGGAAAAAAAGTTAATGGCTTTTGTCAGAGATAAGAGAAGGGAAAAAAAGAAGACTATAGGATGTAGGTTTAAAAAAGTCTGGAAGAAAGCTTTTTCTCGTAAGGAAAAATTCGTCGTTGAAGAGGTGTTTACTTCCCAGAATATTGAAAAGGTAAATGTAATCAAATATAAAATTTTATGAGAACATTTCTTTTATAATTATTCGAATATCTTTTTAGCCAGAACTAGTGGAAAATGAATACCAGAAAAAATTACAAGCTCTCGCACACAGTGCACGCAGGTATTTTTCAAGTTTGGTGCAAGCTGTAGCGGTAAATAATAAAATGGATGATGAAATGAAAATGTACGGCATTTTAAGATTGTTGGAGGCCATAGAAAAGGGTCAATTTATGTTTTTAAGGGTAAGTTTATTTGTTGAAAATTTGCTACATTAGTGTGTAAGAGGTAACAGATACTTCACACCTATAAGTTATATTAGATTTGATTTAAGGTACCATTTAAGCGCCATCCTACATGTGCTTTATCTAATTACATGTGATTCAGACGTAAATGCACATTTCGGTCGCTTGTCTACAACACTTACAACAACTGCCTAAACAACGGCATATTCCCGGATACTTGGAAAGCAGCCAATATGGTATGGCTCAGAAAAAAAGACGGGGGACAACGACCGATATGCTCACTACCCACAATGGGAAAAATCCTAGACAAGATCCTTGTGAGAAGACTGACATACCATCTCGAGACTACAGACGGACTAAATGACAAAACAATACGGATTTCGGGAAGGGGAAACTATAATAGACGCTATAAACCACGTAACAAACAAAATTAACTACAATATCAGGGACAAAAGATTCCATCGTAATAACATATTAGTCTTAAAGAACGCTTTTAACCCGATCTGAACACCAAAAATAGCCGACATACTACAAAGACGATGCGTACCGACAAAACTAGCTACCACATGCTCAAACTTATAACCTACAAGGATCAAGCCTGGGTCCTATATACTTTGGCTGCTAATCATGGACGACTGGTTTGACAGCAAAGAGACAATAACGACAGACAATAAAGACGGATATTGACCAAATTCAAGCTAAGACAACTCCAAACCTGACACTTCCAGCACTAGCCGGAGTCCCCCCACTTGCAGCGGACGCGGGGGCCAGTTACTTTACGAACACAACACTTCACGAAGAAATAGAATACAACAGAACCAAAATAACAGACAAACCACACCTGGCATACAGACATTTACAAATAGGACAAAACTGACTTACGACACACACCACCATACATACGGACGCAAGCATCAAAGACAACAACAAGACTATAGCGCTATCAATACTAAACAATCACACACACAGACATCCAGACGTCAGACTAAAGACATTAACACACTAGAGATACTGGGAGTATCACAGGACATAAAATACATCACCTATCACCAACCCTAATAGCACAGTATTGTTACACGAACGTTCCAGAAACATACCCTTGGGACATTAGAAACGTCTCTGTCATGTTTCTTATTCTTCCTCAAATGTACCTGGGATGTTTCTGGCAACGACCATATCATCATTTGTAACGTATTAGAGACGATTCACAGAGATGTTTGTGGAACATCCTGCGATGTTGCTCAAACTTCTTAGGTAAGTTTTTTATACTATTGCTGAAACGTTCTTGAAATGACCTAAATAGCCCAAGAGCCCACTGCAAATTTTTACCGTCATCTGATAACGAAATGAAATATACCCCAAAAGCATGGAAAAATATTGTACTTTACCAAATGGCACCTGTGCCAATCCTAATCCTGAGCAAAGTGGCTTAAAAAATTATTTCACTTAAAAAAAATCACAGCGCTAATTTTGTTTGCCGTTAAAGTTTTCCAGAAAATAACATTCAAAAATCTCTTGATACATATCGTTAAAGGGAAACATTTTCTTCCTCTTAACATCGCACGAAAACATCAATCCACGATTAGTAGATAAAAATCATTAAAAATATGAATCAATGTTTGCTGATTTAAAAATTTATTTGTATGCCTATTAGGCATTCCAAACAAATGAATTACCAGTGGGCAGGTTTGGTATATCTAAGGGTGGTGTATTCTATCTACTTTACGTAAAATCATGAATAATGGATTACATTTAAATATTTTATGTCAAACACAATAAAAATAATATTTAAAAAACCCACCTATACATTTCTTCATAAATTGGCAGGCTTAGCGAGTACTACTTCGAATAAAAATAGCGTTCAAGTTGCAAGACAGTTGGAACACAATAATATGTTTCCAAACTCACAATTTGGCTTCAGGAGAAACAAGTCTACTCAAGAAAGTATTGCAACCATAACAACTGACATACAAATTGGATTTTCCCAACAAATTTCTACCACTGCTGTGTTTTTAGATATTAAAGGAGCTTATGATAATGTCAATCTAGAAATACTGATTCAAAAAATGATATCATTGGGGATCCCTCACTTAATCTCCTTACATATTTATAAACTATATACAAGACGAAAGTTATTGATTAGAATAAATAATGAATTTATAGGACCTAGAGAAACTTCATTTGGTCTTCCTCAAGGAAGCGTTTTAAGTCCACTTCTATACCTTATTTATACTCAAGATTTGGAACGACATATATCTATTCCTACAAAAATTCTTCAATTTGCTGATGATATTGTTTTGTATACTCAGCATAAAAGTATTGATTCTAGTATTTATCAACTATCATTAGGTGTAGAAGACATACAGAAATGGTTGTTTGAAAATGGTCTAACAATTTCAGAAAACAAGTCAGCGGTAGTTTGCTTTACAAGGAAAAGAACTCAACTTTCAAATGTTGCTTCACTAGGAAATTGTCAATTTCAAATTAAAAGTAGTCATAAATTCTTGGGTGTCATATTGGACAAGAAGCTAAACTGGAAAGAACATATTAATTATATTGTAAAAAGAACAGAAAATGCTGTAAATTTAATAAAAACTGTTTCCAAATATAATTGGGGTGCAGACCCCAACATAGCAATTCTTTTTTATAGGGTGCTGATTAGATCAATTTTTGACTATGGTGCAATATTATACAATGATGCATCAAATACTCATTTGCAAAAATTGGACAGAATAAAATACAAATGTCTTAGATTAAGTATAGGTTTTCTCCCAAGTACTCCAATTAATGTAATAGAATCAGAAACTACAGAACCTCCTCTCAATTTTAGAAGAAAATTTTTATCCGAAAAGTTTTTAATAAATCAAAGGGCGAAAAATTCGGTTCTTCTCCCTCTTTTATCCAATTTATCTTCTCTGTGTTTAACTGGAAAGTATTGGTCAAAGAAAAAACTTCCTTTACTAGTAGAGACTTTTTTATCTACCATTGAAATGATTCCAGACCTCCATCAACAAAATGCAATTCCACTATGGTCCTTACATTTTTCAGCTTTAACAACGCCACTGAAAACATATATAAACAAAAATCTACTGAATGAAAACCCTCTAGTGATTAAAAACGCATTTAAAGAAGATTTAATAACAAAATGGAATACATTTGAAAACATATATACGGACGGATCTAAAATTGGGAACCAATTAGGATGTGCAATTTTGTATCCTAACAAAAATTATGAAATTTCATTTAAACTTCCCAGTACAATGTCAATATACAATGCTGAACTTGTTGCTATAAAAGAAGCTTTTAACGTATGTCTTCAGGAAAATAAATCTAAATATGTTATATTTACTGATAGTAAGAGTGCAGTAGAATATTTTGCAAAATGGAACGTTACCAGTCCTACCAACTATATAGCCTCAGAAATTCTTAAGATTAACTATCAATGTTTGGAACAAAATAAAGAAATTTCGTTGGCGTGGATAAAATCTCATGTAGGTATTAGTAACAATGAGAAAGTGGATATACTAGCAAAAAAGGCTACTGTTTCGGGAACTAATAAAAATATTAAAACTCCAAAATCAGATTTTATTGCTAAATCTAAATTATCAATGTTTAAAACTTGGCAAGATGCATATTCTAAAGAAGAAAAAGGGAAGAAATACAAAAACATTCAACCTAATATTCCAAAGTGTCCCTGGTTCAAAAACGAAATAAATAGGTCTTTTATCCGAGTTATTTGTCGTATGAGAAGTAATCATGCTATGCATCCTGCCTACAAGGAAAAATTTGGTCTATCAGATAATAATTTATGTTTAATTTGTGATGAAATTGCTGATCTCAATCATATAATTTTAGAGTGTGTCCTAAATTCGTTAGATACTGACACAATGTACTTAGAATTAGTTAATATTGGTATACCTCTACCAATAAACATTGATGTTCTGCTTTCATTAAACGATGTTAAAGTTTATAAAATATTGTATGAATTTGTTAAAAAAACTAATACAAGATTGTAAGTAGCTGAGCTACCCTAAAAATATTGTAAACCTGAAACGAAAAAATAAAATAAATGATAAAATAAAAAAATGAAACCAAGGAAAAAATGAAAAAAAAAAAAAAAAAAAATACTACAAAAAAAAATAATACAAAAAAAAATAATACAAAAAAAAATAATCAAAAAAACAAATAATAAAAAAATAGACATTTTTTATAATTAATTACAAACTCAGGTATTTTGATAGCTGTAAGTCAAAATATAATAATAATGTAATCATGTAACAATAGTGGATAAAACAATTAAAGATTTATGGATTACTACAATAGTCTGGCCTTTTGGTTATATCCAGTGCCATTAACAAAAAAAAAAAAAAAAAAAAAAAAAAAGTTGCAAGACTATGTCGCTACCCCCTTAAATATACAAGAATTTCCCACTGGCACCTATTGTTTGACAGGTCGTTGGAATGCCTAATTGTTGCGATTCATTTTTACAGGTTGCCATAGAAACGACAAAAAAACTACTATGATTATGGTTTAAAATAATTGTTTCACAAGAGTTTATAATTATTATTGACTATCTCTGCAAATGGTTTATACAATGCCATCCTTCTTCCTTTCAAACATAAACATGGTTCAAAAGGTAGGTTAAAATATTAGTAATTCAGGTTTAAAAGCTAGGTTCACAATGAATTAGGATTGTAATTTTCAGGGAAAACACAATTGCGCTGTCATGTCTTATGTGAATTTTTGAATATAAAATAATTTTTTTTTACCACTTTGCTCAGGATAGGGATTGGCACAGGCGTAATTTGGTAAAGTACAATGTTGTTACATGCCTTTGGAGCATATTTCATTTCGTTATCAGATGACGGTCGAAATTTGCAGTGGGCTCTCATACTAAAACGTTTTTAGTAGGATAATCAAAGCTATTACTTTTTTTACAAATTTATTTGAAAAATAATATTTTTTGACACAAAAATAAAAAATGTTAATTATTACGCCAC